CTGGCACCCAATTCCAACTTTATTACCTACAAGAACCTCCATTTTAAACCGACTAACCTAATTAATCAGTTCTTTTGAGGTAATGCATCTGTGAAATTTGGGGGAAGTTATGAAAAATCACAATTTTGATTTTTGTATAATAAAATAGTTCATATCTTGCTATTTAGGAAAATGAAAGTTATTTTGGCCTCGCGCCAGTCAACTGGACCCGAGATGGACATTTAAATGTCCTTGCGCACCTATTTCAGCTGCCACGCTCCCGTGGTTTGCCTGTACACTACACAATTATCAATTTGCATTTTGCGCCCTTTTTGTACCATAGGGAACCTTAGCGTTGTCGCCAACCTGTAAATATTCAGAGGGAAACATTTGAGCTTCAATTGCGCATTAATACCTCTAATTTTGTTGTTATGTATAAGCGTGCTGTGTATTTTTGATTGTGTTATATTCTTTTTAATAGTTCATTCAGTTTTATTTAGTTATTTAGGTTCATAGTATTATTTAAAATAAGTTAGGTGGAGTTTTTCTGTAATTTAGTGTAGGTTAGGTCAGTGTTTATTTTCAAGTGTACATAGTATATACAGCATGAATAGGTTGCCAGATAAAAGGCTGAAAGGACCAGCCGAAAGAAGTTTGTTGGCTAAAAATTTATTTGCCAAGAGATGGAAAAGTCAACAAAAAACGGAAATGTCTTCCGAAGTATGTGAAAGAATTGAAAGTGCCTCATTGGAGAATTTCTCTTCAGCATCATCTTCCCAGGCATGTGCATCCCGGAACAAGCTATCGGTTTTCTCCGACAGAAGAACTGGTGCTGCCCAAGACAGTGAGTATCTGAATGATATGCCTAAATCTGATTATATATTAGTTCATTCCAGCTTTTGGCAGCAAATATGTAAAGGAATAAAATATGGCAGTTGTGGGGAAAGTGATTGGATAATAGAATTTTCTCAATTCATGGGCTTTGCAGCTAAAGTAGCTGTAAAATGTACAGCTTGCTACATTACCTGTAGTGAAAATTATACTAGTCCCAGGGTTGAATGCACTGAATCAAGTCGATCTCAATTTGCAGTGAACTGCAAAATGGTAGACACTTTTTTATCATTATGTAAGGGTGATGCTGGAATGGAAAAATTCTGCATGAGCATGCCACTAATCAGTGCTTCCTTGTACAATGCCCATTTGCTGCAAACCGCAAAAGAAAATACAGGAATACATCACACTGTGTTGCAGGAGGCTCAGACTGTTGTTCACCAGTCTTATATTGCCACCGATCTAAGCCTGAGTGAGAATGACATTATTGACATTACAGTCTGTAGACTTTGAAGTAATGTCTAAACTTGTGTTCAACAACAGAAGACATTGAATTCCATAGAATATGCAAGTTGGCATGAGGCACATAAAGAAAGTGGGAAATGTGAAATGAATTTCAGCGGATCATTAAGTGCCATGAAAATGGTTGCAGCAGAGATATTGTTGAAACTNAACTTGAAGCTCAGCCCAGCAGCTGAGAAAATAGGCAGAGTAAGGGATGACCATCACCTCAAGTGGAGCACACATTGCAGTCAACTGGGCTCAAAATCTGCCAGAAAGAAGCTGAGGTTGTCCAAAGTAGCTGCAGAGGACAAGAAGAAGCTAAAAGAGGGTCCTACATATGGATCTGGTCAATTTTAATTGGATCTCAGGTCAGAAAACAAAGATATTCTTTAACAAAATTTTAAATTTGATTTTCTCGCTTTAAGTTTTTTCAGCATTTTCACAACTTTAACATGATGCATTTTTTTACAAATCTGTATACAATTTTGTACACAGGTTTCCTATTTGCTTATGAAAAAAATGACCATATTACTTTTCCTTTGTTGCACTTCATTGATTGGAAAAATAAAATTAAAAATGAAGGGGAAAAAATTAATTAAATTTGACTACTATAGAAGTTATTTTTTTTCCTCAGTAGTTAAGAAAGCAATAAAAATGATGTGATAGAAGTTTTAATTTGTTTAGAATAAGCACAAGAATCCATATTTCATGAATCAGTTTCAAAAATTGCATCATGGGGGGTATTTTATTTTGCGCATTAATATGAAATATTAAAAATTTAATATTTCAGAAACTAAAGCTAAAAATCTTAAAATTGGTATTGTAGGTCATATTTGCATGCTAAACAACTGATATAAATTTCAAACAAATTAAATGAAAATTGTAGATTTTCAGTTTTCACAGATGCGTTACATTAACCACGTGACCAATTTATCTTTCTCTGCCACCAAGTCGATTGGGCGAGGTGGGTGGTTAAAGCCATTTGTGCATACAAACGACTACAGTATTGAAACTCAATATCTGCAAACCAAGTGTATAAGGAACGTGTTATGTTTTGGTATTTCGTTTATATTCTTTTAAAAATATTGTGGCATGTCTGATAAAAGCCAGAATTATGAAGCCAGCGCGAACAACCGTTGCTAGGGAATGGCTCTGAAAACACACCTATGCCGGGCAAGAGTTTCGTAACACGTAACTGGGAAATGGTGTTCTCTACATGGTCCATGCCGATAGCTATGTCATGCAACAGTAGAACTGTTGGGAGATTCCCTTGTCGAGGCAGGGCGCAATGCCTCCACCATAGCCCTCTGAGTTGTAGGAGGCGATGAAAAGAAAACCAAGAGCCTGGGGTTATAAGTGGGCCACCCGGTTCCTGGGGGATATAATTACTGCTACCTGGCCCTCCATGTTGGGGGAATCTTGAATCTGAGAGAGTGAAATTTTGTCATGAGTCCCTCGGGACTCGGACCTGAGAATGACTGAGCTGGCGAGGACCAGCAGCAATTGTAAACAATAGACCCATCCTCTCGTTAGAGAGGATGTTACATAAGGACTATGACTGCAAGTGTTCAGTTGAAAAAAATACTGGTCGTGAGTTTCAAGGGGCTTGTTGCCAGGAAGAACTGACTTTTCATAAACCACCAGTCGTAAAGTAACTCTGACCCTGATACCAACTGTGTTGTGAGATATATTTTCTATGTGGTCCATGCAGAGGCTATATAAGAAGTTGAGTGTGCATAGTTAACCCGATTCAAGTGACTAGACTACCATGGTAGCAAATACTACTAGAAATAGGGCATAGTCTGCTGTATCGAGTCTACACTGACAGGCCTTGTATGTATTATACATATTAGATATTAAGACTCAATTGTAAATAAGTGTACATAGTGTCAATGGACTAATACTATTGACTGTGACTGACAAATGACAGACCCGACCTTTCGTCTTTCATCTAGAAAGAAACATCTGGTCATTGGGGCTCGCCACTAACACTTACTGACTGACTGACCATCAAATGCAGTGTGACTTTGACTTTGACTTCGGCAGTCATGTAAAATATCTGGGTCTAATCTTCAATAAGAGGATTAACTGGAGACTGCACATAGAAATGATTGAAGCCAAGGCCTTCAGAACAATTTATTAAAATCTACTCCCTATTCAAAGTGAGTGTTTAAGCTCCAACTTAACTTTGGCGCTTAAACTAACCCTCCATAAGGCACTAATCAGAACAGCAATGACATACGCTTGCCTGTCCTGGGAATTAGCGGCAGACACCTACCTCCTAAAACTGCAGCGCCTACAAAACAAGGTTCTGCACACCATTGGAAATTTTTTGAGGTGCACACCGGTTTGTGATTTGCAGACAAATTTCACCCTTCTTTAAGTATACGATTATGTAACAAAATTGTGCAGGCAACAAGCAGAAGTCATACAAAATCATTAGAATGAACACATTCATGGTATAGGACAGGGTGAAGCCAGACATAGAAAATACTAGAGGCTTAAACTTGGCGGTGGTCAGGCTTAACAACCGTTCAACTGACAAAGCTATCGTTGCAGCATAAGATACGTAAGATAGGCATGATCTGCTCTGCAAAACCTATACTGACAGAGGACTTGTGCATAGTGCAAAAGTAAGAATTTTCAATAACTTGCTTTGTCTGCAAAATGTACACTTGACGAAAGCCGAAGCATATTCGTAAGAGACAAGCCTACCATCTCGTCAGAGAGGATGTCACATAATGACTATTACCACAAGAGCTCTGTTGTAAAGAGTCTCAGGCTGCAGGTCTCAAGGGGCTTTACTCCAAGACAAACTGATTGGCGATAAACCGCCAGTCATAAAGTAACTTTGACTTTGACTTTGTGAGTTACTTTGGCCGTTGGAAGCTAGTTAATTCAGCTCGGGAGCTGAAACTGAAACTGTTGAGAGCTGTGCCCAAGCAGCACAGTGAAGACTGTGACTGAGAACACTAGTCTGTGTGTGATAGCGATTTGTAAAATGTCACGAGTTTTTTGAAAGGTCAATAAATCCGACTACCAATCCAAACCCTGTTTATAGTCACACTCTGTCACATAATAATATGAATTCTGAATAACAGTGACACATTTATGAATTGAACCATATATTGACTAAAAGCTGTATTATGCGTAAAGCATATTTGAGGTTACTTCATACCGTCAGTAGGCAACGTTACGGCAAAATCGACACCTTTTTCAACGAGATCTCCATATGGTCACTTTAATTCCCATCACAGGGTCCACTTTACAGTTGCGGGGGCCCTGGGGTCATAAAGATGTGGATACATCTATCCCTAACAACAAATTCACTTTTATGACAATTTCTTTTCTTTTTGTTTGTACTTATGATAACTAAAAATAAACTAACTTTTATCGATTTTGTTCTTTTTGGTGGCCCCGTAGCTATTGCTTCTGTCTCCCCTAATAGGAACCTGCCCCACCATAGGATGAAATAAGGATTCAGCAACTTTGTAATGATTGCATAAGGATCTACATTAACGTATGATGTGACGCACCCTAAAAGATGTTTTAAAAGCTCACTATGTGCTCATGGATGCTACACAAACTTATTGCCGCTGCTGCTGTGTGAAGAGATCTCAGTAACAAAAGAAACAGCATTTGAAGTTTGTAGTCATGTTTCTGATCTAATATTCTTCATTCCACAGCCCATTCATCAGACCGAAACTTGGCAAACTTCACGAAGCCTCCTGTATGGTGAGTACGCATTATAAGTGTGTATGTGGCTTTGTTTACTTTATTAGATTTCGCTTAGTGTGTGGAACAATTAATTTATAAATAAGACATATTCGCAATGTCAGACAACTGTGACTATAAAAACACAAAAAGTAGCAAAATTTAAAAAGTATATCTATATATTGTCAACAGAAAATTAGCTTAACTTAATCAGGATTTTTTTACTTTGAAATAAGTTTGATTGAATTCTTCTCAATAAGCGTGGGTAAATACCCATTTAAGGCATTACTTGTCCCTAATGCTGCCTTCTCAGAATATTTTAAGATAAGGTTTTGTTCTTAAGGCAGTCATACAGTTTTCGGTAAAATGAAAATCACCCTTGACATCAAACATATCTAAAGGTGGTTTAAGTGCCCTGCATTAGAGGTTCTCAAAATTTTTATACTGCGACTTCCTAAAATAACACACAAATTTACATGACAACCCATTTCTGTCGGTTAGCAAAAAGCGCAGTTCTGGACGTTGATGCATTTTTATATCAGGCCTGTAGGTTGACAGCAGGGACAGATATTGGCTTTATAATCCCTCTACACCTACAGTAATCTGTGACATATTCCTGGACAGGAAAGAATAATTGCAAAATATGATTGATTCTGAGAACACATGTATTAATTCTGACTCGCACTTTAACTGTGTATGAAAACAGATATATTTTAAATAATTTTTAAGACCTTGGGATTCCTCCGTAGCGTATGCCACGACCCACATTTTGATGAACAGGTCCTGAATCGTTTTTCGGAAACACTGCAGTAGATTCACCCTTTAAGTTTACGTATATTTTGATGAACCAATTTTATTTGGCGAATGAAAATTTGAGGACTGCAAGTTTCTGTAATTTGTAATAGTATGCTTCAAAAGACATTTGTGTGACATGAAACAGGTTTTGAAATATGCTTAGGAAACAACTTGTCGCTGCACAAACTATATTTTTTTCTGAGACCTGTCTTTTGTGTCACCAGAATTTAAAGTTAGAAGTAAGCTATAAAAGTACGTTTGGAACACTGCATAAGTGTGAAGTGTGTGTAAATATGAAAAGATTTTCTGTTAGAATACTCTAATGTGATACAGGTCTTCAGTGAAAATTTGGAATAAGTAGCATATCAGCTTTATGGCTCCCAGGGAAATGGTTAATTTTGATTTAATCTAAATTCCGTTAGAAGTTTGGTCTACACATCCAATTCATTTTGCTCAAGGAGATTGCAATAGCTATATGAAAGGCCAATGACTGAATAAATTAACTGGTTCATAGGGTAATGAGTTGTGAATGAAGATGTGTACTCATTGAACTTGCTCAGAATAGGGTCCAAAGAAAATCTTTTCTGATTGCATTGATAATCCATCATGTGTAATAATATGGGCACTGATTGAACACTTTAATATTATGCGACTGAGGAATGCTTTGTGCTATATAAATCGTAAATGTAATGACATGGCTTTGTAGTTAGGGCGTGGGAATGGTGGCTGCAGTCCGAATACTGGGATTACTTCCCCACATGCATGGATATTTTATCTTCGTTACCTTGACTAGACAGCTTTGAGAGCCACTCAGCCTCCTTTCAAAATAATAAGGAGAACTCTTTTCCCAGTGTAATGCGGCTGCACTGAGAAATTTACCATGCACTTCATATAATGCCGACGTTTAAAACTTATGGAGTTTTACTTCTGCTCTGTCATATATATTCAAAGCATGAAACTTACACAGAAGGCAACTTAACCTCTACTTTTAACCCCTTTGGAATCAGTCACTCCAAATTAAAAAAAAAAANAGAGAGAGACAAGGAAAATATTAAACACTGTTTTAAAGATGCAGTTGTGAGGATGTGAGCCAGACTGAACTGGCATAATATCGTGTATAATGGCAGGTTTTGATATGAGTGGCATTAAACCTTCGTATTTTGCTTTACTAGAAATTGAAGTTAATTGGCTAGTTAGGTGAGCAGGTAGACATACATCCAGACTCAGGTACAGTTTTACTTGTAAGCGAAAAATAATGACTTGAATGAATTTAATGGTATAGAACTGAAGCAAGGAATGTGAAACAGTTCAGTTAGATGCATGGATTCCGCCAAGAGCCTGACATATCATTTTTCTCAAGGAATTCCATATGAAAGCAGCCTGAATTGTGGTTTTGTTAGGGTATTTTACCTGCTTGCAACATGAGGTATGATAGCTGAGGAAGGTTTATTTTTCCTTGATACAAGCTGGAATGCAGATTGAAGTGTATGTGTTCTGTTTATGTTTCAGATATAATTTTTCTGTTGTAGTACATTCTGTACTGTAATTCATAACAAATATAATACATGGTATTACGAGTACATGGAATACTTTAATTTATTCATGACACATTGATACTTAGGTGGTCCATCAATCATTTTTAATTCGCTTAGTGGGGGGTGGAGTCCATCTGGGTCCACTCAGCACAGCGGCCACTGTTTGGCCTATTGTAGCCTGCCCTGGGTGATTATGGTGATGGAGAATTTGGTGGAATGAAGATTGGCAGGGGAAACCGAAGTACTTGGAGAAAACCTGCCCCAGCGCCACTTTGTCCACCACATATCCCAATTGATCAGACCTGGGATCGAATCCGGGCCGCCATGGTGGGAAGCCAGTGACTAACCGCTTGTGCTATGGCGCTGCCTGGTCCATCAATAAGCAGAGCTTCTGTTTTTGTTCACAAAAGTAGAGGTTCAGTGTTGCCATTATGAACTTGTCAAGGGAACTGTGATAACCAGTGGATGCTGCAGAGTTGACTGGGATATACCACCTTAAGAGAGCAGAGAGATATACGAGTATGTGGTGTAAGCTGCAAAATGGGTAATGCTCTCAGTAGTTTTTATACAGAAATCGTTGTTATGAAAAATGACAAGTGTCATGTCCAGTATTTTTCATTTGGTGTGACCTGGAAGTGCCGTTTCTGAGGGAAGCACAAGTTGTTCATAACAAAAGTTTCTTTTACAAAATATGTAAGAAGCAGTTTGGTATTTACTGCTATTATTTTTTTTTATTTGCTAGTGGGGTGGACTAAGTCCCTTGTACTGCGGCCACTTCTGGCCTGTTGTACCAGCTTCAGATGATAGGTGAGGGCGATTGTGAAGCAATTGGTGGAATGAAGATTGGCAGGGGAAACCTAAGTACTCGGAGAAAACCTGCCCCAGCGCCACTTTGTCCACCACAGATCCCACTTGATCAGACACGGGATCGAACCTGGGCCGCCGCAGTGGGAAGCCAGCGAATAACTGCTTGAGCTATGGCGCGGCCTATTTACTACTATCTTATACTGTTTTGTTAGTCCATAGAAGGAAACTGGGTTTAATTATAAACATTATATTGTATGAATTTTCTTTGTGGAATCATAAGGATCTTGCAGTTTTGAGATCATGTTATGATAAAAATTTTTTACCATTGAGCATGATTACTGTAGCTAAAACTGTTCTGTGTAGCCATCCTTTAACAAGAAGCTAGGTATTAGAAACTTGGAACTTAACCGGATTAATTAAAAAACACCTTCGTCTTATTATTGTTCAAAGAACTTGTTCCTACAAATGTCAAAGGTCTTACATGGTAAGTTCCTTAATGTCATTTCAGTTGGAGAAGTTACGTTCTTGTAATGGGACACATCAATTTTCATGAACAGTGAGGGGCCCAGTGGGTGGTGATTATGTGTTTGATGATATTATTCGAGCATTTGCAGGAGAGAATGAGGATATCAGTAAAGTGATAGCTTGTGCTCCAGCTGAGACTTGAATCAGATGGGATGAGAGTGGTAAATGGGTTGGGAGTTAGGAGGTGGGTTAATTCAGGTGGCACATCATGTCACCTGTCTCTACATCAGTTGGTGAACATACATACTAACATATTTAATTTTATTACGTTTTGTATAAATACAGGAAATCCATAATATAATTGGAATAATTACCAATTAATTCATTAAGCCCCTCACAGTTCTAACAACGACTTTTATAAATTGGACTGGGCTGGCTGAAATATATCCCAAACTTACACTCATAACTTATGTGCACATAAATTTGAGTGTAAATGTTTATATAGTATGTAGTAGGGTAAATTTGTTTGGGAATATTTACTGTCATTGTTCACCAGGAGGTGGTTAGAACCCATTGAGATCCAGCGTGTTGTTCACATAAGTCAGTACATTGCATTGTATGCAAAACTTTCATGCATAGTTATTTATATTAATCTAAATATTTTGCAATTATCATATTGTAAAGTTTCTCTATAAATGTTTTCAACACAGGTAATAGTACTTCTCCAAACTAAGTACTTTTATGCTTTTATGTACATCTTAATCCAGTATAGGCCTTATCGATTTATAAAAACTTAGCTTCAGTGTGGTAAATATGCATAATGTATATCACTAGACGTCCGAGAGACTGCTTGACAAATGCATTACCATAACTTTGGTTTCATAGTTCCAGTGCAATTCATGTTGCTGGCACACTGATGTGAATTTGGTAATTGGCACTGAGCATGCTTAGCTTTAGAAAACTTACTTTCTTTTCTTCACAGCAACTGTGTATTTGTGTATGTATGTATATATGTATGTGACCGCCCCTGTGTTCTAGTGGTCAGAGTTCCTGGATACAGATCCAGAGGTCCCCGGGTTCGATTCCCGGCGCTACCAGATTTTCTGAGTGTTGGTTCTGGAATGGGGTCTACTCAGCCTCATGAGGATAACTGAGGAGCTATTTCAAGGAAATAGCGGCTCTGGTCTAGAAAACTGAGATTAATGGCCGTGGGGATCTGTTATTCTGATCAGGTGACACCCTCTATCCGCAAATTTGGTACTAACTTCACCGACAAGTGGCGGTCCCTTGATTGGTATAGTTTGCTTGCGGACTACAGGCCACGGAGTTTTTCTGTGTGTGTGTGTGTGTGTGTATATATGTGTGTGTATGTATTTATGTATATAGTATTTAACCATTGCTTAGGGTTGGTGATACAGA